CTATAATAATCTGAACAATAAAGATTTAATTAAAAAAAAAATTCCATGGTGTGAATGTATCACAGCTTTTTTATCCACTCATCTACTGATGGGCACTTGGGCTGTTTTCTGATCTTAGGTATTGTAAATTGTGCTGCTATGAATAACCCTTCCTTTTTAAAGCATTGAACTGAAAGTTGCATACATCACTTCCTCTCTCACTCCAATCACCAGAACATAGCCATGCCCACTTCCAGAGAGAAATAAAACACAGTTGTGGCCAGCTAAAACTCAGAAGTTCCATTATTTTTTTTTTTTTACTTTTTTACAGAGGAAGGGAGAGGGATAGAGAGTTGGAAACATCAATGAGAGAGAAACATCAATTAGCTGCCTCCTGCACACCCCCTACTGGGGATGTGCCCACAACCAAGGTACATTCCCCTGACTGGAATCGAACTTGGACCCTTCAGTCCAGAGGCTGACGCTCTATCCACTGAGCCAAACCACTTAGGGCAGAAGTTCCATTATTAATAGAATTGGAGAAGGGGTAGTAGGATGCAACCAGCAGTTTCTGCTAAAATTATGTGAAACAGGTATTTTCCAAATCAATATTTTTACTTACACTTTTTGATAAACCATATTTTCTCTTTTTTATATTCTAGTTCATCTTTTAAAATCTTGGTCATGACTCAGCGATTATGCTATCATAACCCACTATAATGGTGACCTATAATTTGAGAAGTCTACTGTGTCAAATATGGTAACCAGTAGCTACCTGGGTGATTAGGCACTTGAAATGTGGCTGGTCTAAATTGATATGCATTGTAGGTATAGACCCTGCACCAGATTTCAAAGACTTAGTACAAAAAATATGTAAAGTATCTCATTAATTTTTATAATGATTAAATGTTGAAACAATATTTTGGATATATTGAGCTAAGTAAAACAATATTAAAATTAATCTGTGTCTTTTTGGTGTGTGTGTGTTTTAATTCTTTCTTGTTTAAAGTATTACATAAGTCTCCATTTCCCCAGTGACCTCTCCCCGGCCACCCCCATCCCCCAGCACATGCCCTCACACCCCCCCTCATGTGTGTTCATTGGTTATGCTCATATGCATGCATACAAGTCCTTTGGTTGATCTCTTATCCCCTCACCCGCGGCCTTTCCTCATAGGTTGGACAGTCTGTTCAATGTTTCTATGACTCTGGTTCTATTTATGTTGTTCATTATATTCTCACAGAAAGAGAAACTTGAAAAACAATCCCATTTACCATTGCGACAACAAATATTAAGATAGCTAGGAATACTACCATTTGCAACAGCATGGATGGACCTGGAGAGCATTATGCTAAGCGAAATAAGTCAATCAGAGAAAGATAAATATCACATGATCTCACTCATTTGTGGAATCTAATGAACAACATAAACTGATGAACAAAACAGATCCAGAGACAGAGAAGTATCGATCAGAACGTCAAACCTCAGAGGGTAGGTAGGGGAGGGTGGGGGTAAGGGGGAGAGATCAACCAAAGGACTTGTATGCATGGATATAAGCCTAACCAATGAACACAGACACCACGGGGTGAGGGAATGAGTGGGGGGGTGGGAAGGTAAGGGGGAGATAAGGACACATATGTAATACCTTAATGAATAAAGAACATAAAAAATTTAAAAATTTTAAAAAATGATACCTGGGAATAAATTTAACCAAGAAGGTAAAGGACCTGTACTCAGAATATCACAGGATGCTGAAAAAAGAGATAGAAGAAGACATAAACAAATGAAAGAATATACCTTGTTCATGAATTGACAGAATCAACGTCATTAAAATGTCCATACTACACAAAGCAATCTGTAGATTCAATGCAATCCCCATTAAAATACCAATGGCATACTTCAAAGTCATTGAACAAAATCTCCAAAAATTCATCTGGAATAAAAAAAGACCCCAAATAGCTGAAGCAATCTTGAGAAAGAAGAACAAAATTGGAGCAATCACAACAGCAGATATCAAGCTATACTACAAAGCCACTGTTCTCAAAATGCCTTGTACTGGCACAAGAACAGAGATATAGACCAGTGGAACAGAACAGAGAAACCAGAGATTGACCGAAGCCATTATGTTCAATTACTATTTGACAAAGGAGGCAAGAGCATACAATGGAGTCAGGACAGTCTCTTCAATACATGGTGTTGGGAAAATTGGTCAGATACGTGCAAAAAAAATGAAACTAGATCACCAACTTAAATCATACACAAAAATAAATTCAAAATGGATAAATAAAAATCCTAGAAGAAGCCATGGGCAGCAAAATAGCAGACATTTGTCATAGCAATATCTTTAACGATACAACTCCTGCTACAATGAAAACTACAGAGAAAATAAACAAATGGGACTACATCAAAATAAAAAGCCTCTGCACAGCGAAAAAAACCATCAACAAAACACAAAGCCTCTGCACGAAAAAAACCATCAACAAAACACAAGAAAGCCCACTGCATGGGAGAACATATTTGCCAATGTTATCTCTGATAAGGGTTGTTTTTTTTTTTTTGGTTTTTTTTTTTTTAAATATACTTTTAAATGAGCTTTTAACTAAATTTAAACTCAAGATTCCAAAAGCAGTCTGAAGCTTTTGGCCTAATATGGTAGGCAGTTAAACAGACATGAGCACGGCAAGGACGATGGGCCGAGTATAGGTCAACAAGGCAGAAAGCCCCGGGGTACCTAGCAATGGACAACTGTAGGGTGGGACCTCATCTCCAGGATGCCCTTTCCTCCCTAGAGATAATATCCAGGCCTCAGTTGTGTTTCAGCTCCAGGCTCAGAAAAGCAACAAAACCACACAAGTGACACCAAGGGTGACCTCAGGACCAGCTATATTGACTAATGACCCCCTGCCCTGGCTCCGAAAATGGCCCTAAAAGGACACACTTGAAAAGCTGATGAATTGGGATCCTCTCCTGGGATCACTCCTCAAAAGTCCTTAGGAAGACCCAGCCTGCTCTCCCTCCTGGGAGCACACCTGAGCCTTTCCCTTCT